AGTGCCCAGTGTCTGGGCTTGGCTTGGGTTCAAGCAGAGAAAGTGGCTCCGCGCACCCTGTGTGGTCACTGGGGATGGGCTATGTGGAATAATCTGTCCTAGTGTCTGAGAAGGCCCTGTCTTGGCCCCCAAGGCTAAGGAGAGCCCAGTTTTGTTGGTGTCAGGGAAGGATCAGGGTTGGGCCTGTGCCTTCCTCCACTTTTCTTGCTTCCAAAATAAACATCCACTTGGGCTCTACTCTGAAGCTGATGGACTGCGCTCAGTGGGGGACGGGAGGGCTGGTGCTTTCTTTCTCTCTGAGTGTCCCAGCTTGGATGGCCAGCCCCCCACTCCCCGGGATCCAACCCTTACCACACCTGCCATTTACCACTTGGCAACCAAATCACCAGGGAACTTTAAAACCACCAGAATCCAGGGAAAGGGGTAGGGCCCAGGACTCTGTATTGTTAAAAAGTCCCCCCAGATAATTCTGTGCCCAGCTAGACTTGAGAACTGCAGCAAGCAAATGGGAATCATAAAGGGTCACTGCCGGAGGGAGGGGGCAAGAAGGTGCGAGCTTCCCCAGACCCCAGACTTCCCTTGGCTGATACCCAGCACGGTGGCTTCCCTTGGAGCTGCGATGGGCGAGGTCACTGCTGTCCCTCTCCCATGGTGTCCCCAGGCCTATGGGGCCAGGCACACAGAGGGTGTCTAGTGATCGCCAGCCAAGTGAATGAACACAAGAGCAAGTGGGCAAATGAATGAGTAACTCATCAGGCTCAGGCATTCAGAAGAAGCTGGAAGAGGGGTAGCGAGGACTTCCCACCATCTGAGCAGGGAGGAACTAGGCCTTGCCTCTCCCCCAACATGGAGCCAGATGAGTGCGAGGCAAAGGGACTTTGAAACAGGAAATTCAGCATGGGGTTGTGGGAGCGTGGCGGTGATTCTTGAGGCAAAGCTGTCCTCACTCTGAGATTCATGGCCCTTCCTGCCAAAGAATAAAGGGATCCAGGTTTCCCTGCATGGGAGGGGGTGGGAGGCCAGTGAGGCAATGGAGAGAGTTCTGGGGTCTGGACCACGCTGGTTGATGTGGCCCAAGTCAATGCCTCTCTCCAGGCCTCAGTTTCCCAGTCTGATATTATGACTGATAACTGAGTCTCAGTTCTTCTCATTTCACTCCTTCCTTGATAATAGGAGGGGAGGGCTTTGAGATGAAAGGAGAGGAGGTTCCAGCTATAATCACTCACCCAATGTGGCACTGTGGGTGGAAGGTCCATCCTCTGCTGGAGTTTTTCCAGAGACATCCTGGGCCTGACTGGAAGGCAGAGGGAAGCGTGGTTCTAACAGGGATGCCTGTGAGAACAGTGTCAGAGATGGGATAGGGAAAATAGGCAGAGGTTCTGCTGAGAGCAGGTCACCCGGTGGGGTCAAAGGACATTCCTGGGGGGTGGGATGTGCCTGGTGAATTCTGAGCTGGACAGGAGAGAGACATGATCAGAGTTCTGTGTCTGTCTGTCCCTGGCCTTCAGTGCCAGCACCAAACCCATGGTCCGCACTCACCAAGGACTCACAGCACCCCTTCCAACTCTGCTCAGCTGCTTTCTCTAGCCTTAACATTGTAACTGTTGTTATTGTTAGGTGCTGTTGAGTCGGTTCCAACTCAGAGAGACCCTATAGGACAGAATAGAACTGCCCAATAGGATTTCCAAGGAGCAGCTGGTGGATTTGAACTACCGTCCTTTTGGTTAGCAGTCAAGCTCTTAACCACTATGCCACCAGGGCTCCCTAACATTGTAACTAGATGTGGCAAAGTGCCCCAGCACACTGGCTGGCACAGAGTCGGCGCCCAGTGTTTGTGAATGAATGAATGAATAATGAATGCATGGTGTTGAAAAAGAAAACAATTGCTGGGGCCTTCTAGCCCAGATGAGGAGAGGACAAAGCTCTAAGGAATTTCACCTGCCTGACTCATACAGGGTCTACTGGTGTCCTGCCAGGTCTGATGCTACCCTGTCTTGCTTCATCCTCTGCCCCCCGCCCCAATCAAATCCTCATGATGGTCTGATGCTAAGGGAGCTGGGGAGGGGAGAAGTTGCTGCTTGGGTCCAACCCTCACCCTTGGAGATTGCTTTCTTCCCCTCTACTAGCTTTAGACTGACAGTTTGCATGGAGACCTTAGCTGGCAGTGTCCCCGTTTCCCACGGCCCTATTCCCCATAGGTGTGGCATCCAGACTTTTCTGGGCGTGGGGAGGGGCAGTAATCTCCAAGCAGGGCAGAGGTAGGAGGTGGCAGTGGAGTGGAAGGGAGCTAACATTTATCGAGCAGCTGCTATATGCCAGGCCCATTGCTTATAAAACCAAAACCAAACCTGTTGCTGTCAAGTCGGTTCCAATTCATAATGACCCTATAGGACAGAGTAGAACTGCCCCATAGGGTTTCCAAGGCTGTAATCTTTACAGAAGCAGACCGCTACATCTTTCTTCCATGGAGTGGCTGGTGGGTTCAAGCCACCAACCTTTCGGTTAGCAAGCAAGCACTTAACCACTGTGCAACCAGGGCTCCTTCCATTGCTTGTACTACCTCATTTATGCTCACAGCCTTCATGGAGTGTGCATTATCCCCATTTCATTTGCCCGATATAGAGAATGCACACTCCATGAAAGCAAGGATCATGTCTGCCTTGATCTTAAATCTGGTCCATCTGGTGGTTGGGACAACAGACATTCAAGGATTGAATGAATTAAAAAATAAACCTGGTCTCCACCCTCAAGAAGCTCCGTGTTTAGTAGGAGAGAGAACCATGTAAGCACAGGTGGATAGAAGGTGGTAGGCTCTGTGATGGAGGATGTGGCGAAACAAGTAGAAAGAGTAACGCAGCCTGCTTGGCAGTGGACAAGAATGCGGACAGTCCACCAGGCTTTGCTGGAGGAGAGCTGTTTGACCTGGGTTTTGGAGGAAGAGTAGGAGTTTATCATGTGAACAGAGGGGATAAGAAGGACCCCCAGGCAGAGGAAACTGCCTGGGCAAAGGCCAGAAGTGTGCAATGGCATGATGGGTTCAGGGAACTGCTGGTGGTATCAGAGTGTCTGCTGGAGCGTAGGGTGGGGGACTAGGGGGTGCTGCAAGAAGTGAGGCTGGAAGCAGAAGGAAGGAGCCAGATCATGAAGTGGCTGTGTGTGGGTGGGTGCTCTTGTGCCAAGCCAAACTGTCTCTGAGGACTGTGGGGGCCTATGCAAGTGTGGAACAGAGAGAGATGGGACCAGATTTAAGTTTCAGGAAGACCACTCAGCAGCCATAGGAAGGATGGATGGGCAGTGCAGAACTAGAGAGAAGAGGCTAGTGGCAATCACTGGTAACCACCAGGCAGGACAAGGCTATGCCCATGGGGCTGGGGTAGCAGACACAGATGTTTAAGGTGATACTTGACAAGACTCTCTGAGAGCCTGGATGGGCATGAAGGTGGAGGAGACGTCAGGATGAATCTGGGGCTTCTGGTCTGGGTGGGCTGTGCTCTGCCAGTTCGGGAAGACAAAGGCCTAATGTGTTCCAGAAGGTTAACAAAGTGCTGGACACTGTCAGATAGAAACCACCATCCTAGCCTGGAGCAAAACTGTGTCAGTCCTGATGGGGCCCAGTGCATTGTGGTATCTGGGGCTGTTTGTGGATTGAAGAGGGTGGAGCAGAGGACAGACCAGGAAGGTAAAGAAGACACAGCAGCTGAGGTCTTGATAAAGTGGGTAGGCCCTTCCAGTCTAGAAGGAAGGAAGCTAAGGCATGTGGCTGAAGTCTACAAAACCAAGAACAGGTCTGGCCATCACACTGCACAGGGCTCTGCATGAAGCTACAAAGAGGAAATTTAATCCAGTCAAAAGAAACTGCCCTTCTAGGCTGACCATAAACTCCTAGAGGAGGTGGGGACTCAAAATATACCTGTACAGGGCTGGACAAATTCCTGGGCAACAGGGCCAAGACGGGGCAGGAGGCACAAGGTCTGGAGCTCCAGGGGATGGAAGATGGCCCTGACTTTTCCGGTATTGGACACAGGTTCTGGAGGCCCTGTGAGGAGGTAGTGAGGGGCTGACCACCTGTTGGCCAGTCCAAGCCCAGCTGTCTCAGGAAGTGACCCAGACATTTTGCTGCCCCTCTCTGGGCTCCGTTTCTGCATCTGTAAAAGGGAGGGTTGAGCTAAATGGCAACAATGGTGCCTTCTGGTTCTCACTTTCTGCTGTTGACTTTAGGGGTGTGCTGTTTCTCTGGGGTTGACTCTGGGGTTGGGGATGCACACAGTGAGGAGTGGGAAAACGGAGAGGGCAGAGAGACAGAACAGCCACCAGCATCAGGGCCTGGGACCTCAGGGGACCTGGAGCATGGACACAGTCATTCATCAGAAATGTATTGAGTCCCTGGGTGGTGCAAACAGTTAATGTACTTGGCTGTTAACCAAAAGATTGGAGGTTTGAACCTACCCAGCAGTGCCATAGAAGAAAGGCCTGGAGATCTACTTCCAAAAAATCAGCCATTTAAAACTATATGGAGCGCAGTTCTACTCTGACATACACGGGGTTGCCATGAGTTGATGTCAACTCCATGGCAATGGGTTTGGGGGTCCTTAAGGAGCCCCTGGGTAGTGCAAACAATTAACGCACTCAGCTGCTAACTGAAAGGTTGGGTGATCGAGTCCACCCAGAGGTGCCACAGAAAAAAGGCCTGCCGATCTACTTCTGAAAAGTCAGCCATTGAAGACCCTATGGACTGCAGTTCTACTCTGAACACATAGGTTCATCATCAGTCAGAGGTGACTTGACAGCAACTGATTTTACTGGTACTAGGTGTCAGGGATCATTCTAGGCTCTGGGGATACAGCAGTGAAGAAAGCAGGCCCCGTCCCTACCCTCATGAAGCTTATAGACTAGTAGGCACCCCGGGGCACGCGGGTCTCCTGCTTGGGGGAGCAGCCGAGGTCCTCTGAGGCCCAGGCGGGTGGAAGACCTCAGAGGGCCCCTGTGTGTGCTCCTTGCAGGTATTCTCGGTGGCGCCCCCGTTTGAGGTGAATGGTCTCCCACGAGCTGTGCCTCTGAACCTGCCCTACCAGGACTTCAAGAGAGATCTCTCTGATTACCGCGAGAGGGCACGGCTGCTCAACAGGGTCCGGAGGGTGGGCTTCTCGCACATGTTGCTCACCACCCCCCAGGTCCCTCTGGCTCCCATTCAGCCTCAGGCCAATGGGAAGGAGGAAGAGGAAGAGGAGGAGGAGGAGGAGGAAGAGGAGGAAGAGGAGGAAGAGGAGGAAGAAGAGGAAGAAGAGGAGGAGGAGGAGGAGGAGGAAGAGGAAGAGGAAGAGGAGGAAGAAGAGGAGGAGGCAGTGGCTCTGGGGGAGGTGCTGGGGCCTCGCAGTGGCTCCAGCAGTGAGGGAAGTGAAAGGAGCACCGACCGGAGCCAGGAGGGCGCCCCATCCACGCTGCTGGCTGACGATCAGAAGGAGTCCAGGGGCCGGGCCTCCATGGCCGATGGGGACCTGGAGCCTGAGGAGGGCTCCAAAACACTGGTGCTCGTCTCCCCTGGTGACATGAAGAAGTCGCCTGTCACTGCCGACCTGGCCCCTGACCCCGACCTGGGCACCCTGGCTGTCCTCACTCCTCAGCACGAACGGCCCCAGCCCACTGGCAGCCAGCTGGATGTGTCTGAGCCAGGCACCCTGTCCTCCATCCTCAAGTCTGAGTCCAAGCCCCCCGGTCCCGGGGTAGGGCCAGGGGCTGGGGTGGTGACCACAGGAGCAGGGGGAGTGGCAGTCACCTCCTCACCCTTCACCAAAGTTGAGAGGACCTTTGTGCACATTGCAGAGAAAACCCACCTCAACGTCATGTCTTCCAGTGGGCAGGCCTTACGACCTGAGGAGCTTGGCACTGGTGTTGAGCTGGGCCTGGAGGTGCCCTCTGATGGCGGTGCTGCATGGGAGAGGGCTCTGGTGCCCCTGGAGAACGGCATCACCCTGTCAGGGCTGGATGGGGCTAAGACAGAGAGCTGTGCTCTGTCTGGCCCTCCTGGGGACACCCCTTCAGAAGTGGCCAGGGACTCACTGCCCAATGGCCCAGCCCTTGCTGATGGGCCAGCCCCAGTATCCCCGCTGGAGCCAGGCCCTGAGAAACTGGACACCATCTCTCCCAGTCGCCAGGCTAGGCCAGGCCCTCACCTGAGGAGCCGTATCCCTGTTCTGCTATCTGAGGAGGACACGGGCTCAGAGCCCTCGGGCTCACTGTCGGCCAAAGAGCGATGGAGCAAGAGGGCCCGGCCACAGCAGGACCTGGCCCGGCTGGTGATGGAGAAGAGGCAAGGCCGGCTGCGACTGCACCTGGCCTCAGGGGCCTCGTCTTCCTCCAGTGAGGAGCAGCGCCGCGCTTCTGAGACACTTTCCGGCACAGGCTCCGAGGAGGACACCCCTGCCTCTGAGCCTGCAGCACCCAGGAAGTCTGGTAGGGCAGCAGCCACCCGGAGCCGGATTCCCCGCCCCATCAGCATACGCATGCCCACACCTGCCACAGCCCAGCAGTCCCCCGGGAGACCCCAAGTCGCATCCCCAGCATCTGACACAGCCATCACCAGCAGGTGAGAAACCACTGCCCACTCTAGGGTGGGCAGGAGGTGACCACAGAAGGCCTCCACCGCCAGGGGCTTCCCCAGACCCAAGGTCAGGGGCTGTTGAAGATTGGGAGGGACCCTCAGCTACACCCCTGTCCACCACCTCCCCAGCTGGGCTCTGTTTTTCATCTGACTCAGGCCCCAGCCCTGGCACCGGGCTCAAGGGAGTGGGTAGAGTAAGAATGTCTGGAAGGGGTGCCAGGGAGGCTAGGCGTGAGAAAGGGCAATGGGGGATAGTGGGGTCCACACACAGCTTCTGGTGTGCCATGGGCATGTGACGCTAAAAGATAAACCCAGAGTATAGAAGAGATGGGAGAGAACATTAAAACATGATTTCATATTAATGCAAACGTGTATATTATAGAAAAATTTGCAAAATCCATGATAATTTTAAAAATGAAACAGATACCATAGTAAGCCTGCAGCAGGCCTCCAGAGCGTGTGGCCCTTACAGGTCCTGCTCTGGAGGATGGAGCACCAGGCCTCAGTTTACCCATCTGTGCCATGGTCTCAATTTCATCCAGCTCAGGATATAGAACTCTAGGGCTGACTCCACGCCCAGGAGGATTCTGAAAATGTCTCCCCTTTTTTGTTTCTTTGTCCCGTTTCCCCTTGCCTTCTGTTCTCTGCTCCTCACGCAGGCTCCAGCTGCAGAAGCCCCCAGGGTCGGCCATTTCTGCTGACCTCCGACCCAAACAGCCCTCTGGTCGCCGCCCGGCTCCAGGCAGAGCACGAGCGGGAGCCAGGACCCCCGCCCCCGCCCCCGCCCCAGCCCCACGCAGTCCCGGCCTCACCGCAGCAGCGCGCAACCAGAGCGCGTCCCCGCGGAGCCGGTCTCTGTCCCGCAAAGAGAGCGCCTCCCCATCGCACCAGGTCCGGCCCGCGGGCCCCCCACCCCGGGGAGCCCCACAGGCCCGGGCCCAGCCTGATGGCACCCCCTCCCCGGGGGGCCCCAAGAAAGGACCCAGGGGGAAACTCCAGACTCAGAGTGCAGTAACCAAAGGCCGGGCGGGGGTTGCGGAGGGCCGAGCCGGAGCCAAATCATGACGCTCACGGCCCTCCGCGGCCGGCTTGGCCCTCCCCGGCCCCTACCCTCACCCCGACGCCCACCTGCAGCCGGCCACACTGGAACAACTCCCAGCACAGCCTTACGCGCCTGACGCGCCACCTGCGGCCCCAGCTTCCCGCCTGCACACGAGAGAATGCGCGAGGACACGCGGTGCCCAGCCCGCTGACCCAGCTGGTAACGGGCGCCGCGCCACGCATGGCGGGGCGTCCTGGTCCCCTTCTTCTCCCCTCTCCTCCCCGCCCCTGCCGCCAATCAGGCGGGGAGGACTCACGCCGGTCCCTCCGCCCCGGGGAAGGCTCAGCCACTTTTCACTGAGGACTCCACTTCTAGGCCACCCCATTCACCCCCCAGGCCTCAGCTGCTCTCCAGGCTCTCCCAAGGACCTCTCCTTACACCTCCTACGGCGCCTTTCCGTCCTTCCGACCCTCTTCCAGCCAGATCCCCCTCCTTTTCAGAGAAGCAGCCCCAAATTCCAGAAGTGGAGGCACTAGCCTCCCCCGGGTGTCAACTGCGCAGTGTCCTGGGAGTTGTGGTACGGGGGGAGCCTCTTCTCAGCTGCCAGGCTGGGGGCTGAGAGGGTGGGATTCAGGGGCCACCGGTCTACTCAGGTGTGAGGGGCAGGTCTGATCTGCCCCAAAGTCAACTCCATCTTGGACACCCTCACGGGGAGGCAATTCCTGGGGGGAGACTTTAGGGTACAAAGACTTCTCCCCCTAAATTTGAGCGGGCCCTCAATGAGAACCATGGGGTGTGTGGGCTGCCTTCTTGGGCAAATGTTTCCCAGATGGAGGGGGACTTCACAAGAGGTTTCACCCTCTCCCTTGGCCTCCTGATCTAGTGCTCAGGACCCCTCACCATCAGGAATTCCTTCTTGCCATCAAACCTCGGTTCTGCCTCCTGCAGTTCCAGCCAACTTCCCCCTCTCCTGAGCTCAGTGGAGGTGGAGACTGGCTGACTACCATCTCTGCGCTGGCTCTCCAGAGATTCATTCGGGGCCTCAGTTCTGGCTGGGTCACCCTCTCCACCCTGCTGGCTGTGAGGAGTGGGCTACGTCAGGCCACTATCTCCTCTAGTGAACAGAGGGGACAGAGACAGGCAGACAGACAGACAGCTGGCCCCCTTACTTAAAGTGGCAAGTCCCGTCTAACTTCCAGATTGTATGCTTGTGTGATGGGTTCCAGCCCAATCCCTCCCCCAGCTCACCTTTTGGCCTGTCCCCTCCTGCCCTAACTGCAGCCCCCGCAGCTGAGCCACCCCAGCAGAGGGTGAGGGCTGTGCTGCTCCATGAGTGGGTGTGGGACTTATTCCTGGGTTCTGGCTCCCAAATAGCTCACCCCACCCCATCCTGAGCCCCAGCTGCCTGCGTCTCGGGGAGGCAGCACACTGGCTGCAGAAGGGACAGCCGACCCTGCCTGTCTGGGATAGGCTCCCTGCAGGCCTCTTCCATCCTCAGCACCCTGGCCTGGCCCCTCTGTCCTTCCCTGGGCCACAGAGAACAAGCCAAGACATCCAGGGGAAAAACAAGAAAGGCCCAGTGTGCCTCAGCTGTTTGGCAGCATCCAGCCACCATCACGTGGAAGGATGCCCCTGAAGAATCTGGCCCCAGGAGCAGCTGGTGGGGCCAGCTGAACCTCCTCATGGAGAGTCAGCAGGCTCGGGCAGCCACTTCTATGCCAAGGTGGTGGCTTCTCTGCAGACCAGCCCAGAGGACTCCAGGGTGGGCAGCCTTTAAGGTCCACTCAATGCTGATGCAGAAGCTTCCAGAACACTCAGGAAACCTCTCTGAACAGAGTCCTCCTTGTCAACCCGAGGTCCTCCCAAGACCCTCTACTGCCCTCTGGATCTAGCAGAGGGCGTGGAGATGGGGCCACTTCCTCCCACTTAGAGCTTCTCCGAATGACAATCAGCTCTTGCCAGGTGGGGACAAGGGTACAACCCCTGGTGTCCAGGCCTGGGGCCTGTTCCTTGCCACCAATCGAATTGTGAATGTAGGGCCCCCAGCCTCACCCCTGTCGCAGGACCAACAACACCCTGGTTTGGAGTTGGGAGGAAGAGGGGGGCCTGAGAGAGCCCCAGGCCCACCCCTACCCCCTCCTTCACCCAGCACTCTTGCTGGGCAGAGACAGAAAACCCCATCTGCTCTTGGGATTCTCGACCTTCCTAGGGCTCCCAACTGACCTCAGGCCTCTGCATCACTGAATGTCACCAGGGTGGGTTGGGGGGAGGGGGGGTCAAGGGGACTGATTCAGATCCAGGGCAGAGGAAACCACACCTCCCAGCACTCCTATTCCCAGCTGTAGCCTCTTCCCCCTTGAGCACCCATCCCCCCACTAGGCCCTCCCGGTCCTGAGCACCTTCTCTATAAAAGAGTGTCACCCCTGCACTTCCCCATCAGCACAGCCTGTGTAACTGGCTCAGACTCGTGGTCTGCTCACACCAGAACACGCCTTCCCTCCGCAGCCACACCAAGCACGAAAGGGAATACAGGAGGGGGGCTGTGCCCCAGGCACAGGGCTCCCCCCTTCCCAGCTCCTTGCAAGGGACTGGCTTGCTTAGACTTCTTAGCTCCAGGGACCAGCCCTGGTGGGCATGGGGCAGGGGCAGGGAGGTGCCCTGCCCCTCCCCAGGGAAGCCACCGAAGAATGTTTACACGCTAAACAGAATGTAACAGCCCCCGCTCCCCCCAAGTCACTGCATGGCCTCTGCCCATCCCGCACCTGTCCACCCCCACCCCACACACCCCACGCAACACCCGGAAGCCGCTGTCATGAGTAGATCGGGTCTTGGAAGGGAAGTAGTCATCACACCATTAAAAAGCCTGTGGATCTTTCTGTTGGCCTGGACTCTTCTTCCCTTTGCGGGGAGGACACAGGGGAAGAGAGAAGAGGGCAGGATGGTGGGAAAGTGGGGAGGGCTCTACCTCGTGGAGGCAGGCACAGCATTCACAGATGAGGAAAGGGATGTTCAGGGTCACTCAAAAAGAGGGTGACTGCTCTGCTCTCTCTCTGACAGTGAAGCTTGCACTCTCCTCAGCTCCCTTGGCTGACTCGCCTACTGGCCAGAGACCCTAAATCTAGCTTGGTGCAGAGAGGGAGGCAGGAAAAACTTTCATTGTCCCAAAGGTAACAGATTAAATGTCAGAACCATGAAATTCAGTGGCTCCCAGGCAAGAAGAACAAAATCTATCAAAATCACAGATGGACATAACTTGCTACCCAGCCTCTCTACTTCTAGAAATTTATTGTATGGATATACTTGTACATTTGCAAAATTACGTGTGTCCTAAGTTAGTCATTGCAGCATTGTTTGTATAGCCCCAAAAAGTTCTGAAAATTGGGAGTTTTTCATTAAATTCGCACAAACTCACTTGGTACCAAAATCTTGACAAGACCATTTGGTACTGTCGAGTTGGTTCCAACTCACAGCAACCTTATGTACAACAGAACCCTATGTACAACATTGCCCAGTCAGTCCTGTATCATCCTCACAATCATTGCTATGTTTGAGCCATTGTTGCAACCACTGTGTCAATCCATCTGTCGAGGGTCTTCCTCTTTCTTGCATATTCTTCTTCTCCAGGAACTGGTCCCTCCTGATAACATGGCCAAAGTATGTGAGACAAAGTCTTGCCATCCTCGCTTCCAAGGAGCACTCTGGCTATACTTCTTCCAAGACAGACTTGTCCATTCTCTGGCAGACCATGGTATATTCAATATTCTTCGCCAGCACCATAATTTAAAGATGTCAGTTCTTCTTTGGTCTTCCTTATTCATTGTCCAGCTTTCGTATGCATATGAGGCGATTGAAAATATCATGGTTTGGGTCAGATGCACCTTAGTCCTCAAGGTGACATCTTTGCTTTTTAATGCTTTAAACAGGTTTTTGCAGCAGACTTGCCAATGTAATACATGTTTTGATTTCTTGACTGCTGCTTCCATGGGCATTAATTTTGGATCCAAGTAAAATGAAATCCTTGACAACTTCAGTTTTTCTCCCTTTATCATGATGTTGCTTATTGGCCCAGTTGTTAGGACTTTTGTTTTTTTATGTTGAGGTGTAATCCATACTGAAGGCTGTAGTCTTTGATCTTCATCAGTACGTTCTTTAAATCCTCTTTGCTTTCAGTAAGCAAGGTTGTGTCATTTGCATATTGCAAGTTGTTAATGAGTCTTCCTCCAATCCTGATGTCTCATTCTTCTCCATATAGCCCAGCTTCTCAGATTATTTGCTCAGCATACAGATTGAATAAGTATGGTGAAAGGATACAACCCTGACGCACACCTTTCCTGATTTTAAACTACGCAGTATACGCTTGTTCTGTTTGAGTGACTATTGGTTTATGTACAGGTTCTTCATGAGCACGATTAAGTGTTCTAGAATTCTGATTCTTTGCAATGTTATCCATAATTTGTTATGATCCACACAGCTGAATGTCTTTGCATAGTCAATAAAACATAGGTAAACACCTTTCTGGTATTCTCTACTTTCAGCCAAGATCTATCTGACATCAATGATATCCCTCATTCCAGGTCCTCTTCTGAATCCCGCTTAAACTTCTGGCAGTTCCCTGTTGATGTGTTGCTGCAACTGTTTTTTTTTTTTGGTCAGCAAAATTCTACTTGTGTATGATATTAATGATATTGTTCAATAATTTTTTATTTCTGTTGGATCACCTTTCTTTGGAATGGACACAAATATGGATCTCTTCCAGTCAATTGGCCAGGAAGCTGTCTTCCAAATTTCTCAACATAGACGAGTGAGCACCTCCAGCACTGCATCCCTTTGTTGAAACGTCTCAGTTGGTACTCTGTCAATTCCTGGAGCCTCTTTTTTTTTTGACATTCCCTTCAGGGCAGCTTGGTCTTCTTCCTTCAGTACCATCGGTTCCTGATCATATGCTACCTCCTGAAATGACTGAACGTCGACCAATTCTTTTTGGTACAGTGACTCTGTGTATTCCTTCCATCTTCTTTCAGTGCTTCCTGCATTGTTCAGTATTTTCCCCTAGAATCCGTCAATACTGCAACTCGAGGCTTGAATTTTTTCTTTAGTTCTTTCAGCTTGTGAAATGCCAAGCATGTTCTTCGCTTTTGGTTTTATAACTCCAAGTCTTTGCACATTTCATTAGAATACTTTACTCTGTCTTCTTTAGCCGCCCTTTGAAATCTTCTGTTCAGCTCTTTTACTTCATCATTTCTTCTGTTCACTTTAGCTACTCTATGTTCAAGAGCAAGTTTCAAAGTCTCTTCTAACATCCATTTTGGTCTTTTCTTTCTTTCCTATCTTTTTAATGACTTTTTTCTTTCTTCATGTATGATGTCCTTGCACAACTTGTCTGGTCTTCGGTCATTAGTGTTCAATGTATCAAACCTATTCTTGAGATGGTCTCTGAATTCAGGCGGGATATACTCAAGGTTGTATTTTGACTCTCATGGACTTGCTCTAATTTTCTTCAGCTTCAAGTTGAACTCATATGAGCAATTGATGGTCTGTCCCACAGTCGGCCCCTGGCCTTGTTCTGACTGAAAGCTTCTCCATTGTCTCTTTCCATAGATGTAGTCAATTTGATTCCTGCGTCTTCCATCCGGTGAGGTCCATGTGTATAGTCGCTGTTTATATTGTTGAAAAAAGGTATTTGCAGTGAAGAAGCTGTTGGTCATACAAAATTCTATCATTTGATCTCTGGCGTCATTTCTATCACCAAGGCCATATTTTCCATCTACCATTCCTTCTTCTTTGTTTCCAACTTTTGCATTCCAATCACTAGTAATTATCACTGCATCTTGTGTGCATGTTTGATAAATTTCAGATCACCAGGGCAGGAGGGAGGGGAAAGGAAGACACAACACTTAGAAGACACTGAGCTTCTGTTAAGGGTGATGGAAAAAATTGGGAACGGTTAATGATGATGGTTGCACAACATGATGAACATATTTAATGTTAGTAAATTGTATGTGGGAAGATCAAATGTTTTATTACCTATATATTTACCACAATAAAAAAAAGTTAAAAAAAAACTTACCTCTCAGGAGCTGCAAAGAGTTACGGCATTTTATATACAGGTATGCAGTGCTTAATGTCTATGATACATTCCGTGAAATAAGACAATATGTGATTTTGATGTTGTGCGAACACCTGTGTCATCTTGCTGTGGGGCTCCCGGTGGCCCAGGGGCTGCTGTGTGGCCTGCAGCCTGGGAAGCTCCCACTATGGATGCCTCAGGTGAGTGCTCGGCCAGGTCCTGCCCAGCTGTCCTGCCTTCTCTGCTAAGCCAGCTGCAAGGAAAGCCAGCTTGCCCACCCGCCCATGAGAACTGGGTAAAGGGATGGTGCAGGCCAAGGGGGCTGAAGGTGCCCGAGCCAGGGCTAGGGCATCCGGGGTTCATACCTTTCCATCACCACCCTAAGGGACCACATTGGGCAAAACACAGAGACTAGACCTGCCAAGTTGTGGGAGCCAAGGGGGACCAGGGCTGGGAGTTAGGCTTGGGCCTCCATAGCCACAGACTAGGTGGCTTCTGGGCTGCGTGCACCAGCCAGGCAGAAGTGGGGGTCTAACCTCAAGACACGAGTCTGGAGTCCTGGCACTCAGACACCTGGGTGCACCAGGCCACGGACATATATGCCCTTATATGCAGTCGGACGTTGCCTGAATGGACTTTAAGATGCATACCTATATTTATATAGTGATTACATAGTATTAAAAGACAGGGGGAGTTAACGGGTGGGTGAGTGGGATAGGTGGTGTCTCACCCTCATGTTGGCTTCCAGGGAGGCCTGAGCACCCTTCAGGTGAATAAGGGGGAGGCCAATACTGGCCAAGGGACCGTAAAATGGTGTGAGGTGCCAACGGGGTGGTGTGTTTGGGGAACTGGAGGGAAGGAGGAGTGTTAGGGGAGGGGCCAGGTATGGGCTGGGGGACTGGAACTGCTCCTGGTGGGTCATCTGGGCCAAGCTACAGAGCTGGACTGCCATCCTTCAGCAGTAGGAGCTCATGATGAGCTTTAAACAGAATGTGACCCTGTCATGTTTGTGTTTTAAAAGTCCTTGTGTCGGGTGTGTGGAGAATGAGTCGAAACAGGTTAGAATGAAGGCAAGGATATCTGTGTAGCTATCTTAACCCTCCTGCTAGACTGTAAGCTCCCTGAGGGCAGGGACTGTGTCTAAGGCATCTCTGCAACTTGCAGAATACCTTAGTTGCACTGGGGCCGCTTACTATTATCACCTCCCGTCACCACCACTACCACCATTTTCTGCCATTTGCTTCCTGTCACTGTCCTCACTCCCACGCTTACTAGCACCACCATTCCCACACACCATGTCACTGATTTAGCCCTTCCCCTGATACAGACTTGGACACCTCCAGCTCAGCAGCTTGGGTCAAAGGCAAGGCTCCTGGGCTAGGGGTCAAGGGGTCCTGGTACTCTCCTCAGCTCTGCTGCTGAGTCACTGTGTGACGCCAGCAAGTCCCTCTGTCCCGCTTCCCTGTCCCTGGTTTCTTTATCTTTTCAATGAGGGAGCTAGATTAAATTAGTGGTTTTCAATTTTTTTTGTCTTTTTTAGCCTGGGTCTCTTCTCCAAGGACATCTTCTGAAGCCCATTTGTTTTAAAATCTGGAGCTCCTGGGAACACAATTTAACAACTCCTCAGTGGACAGGCCATCCTGGCTCTGCCAGCCTGGCATTTGATGAATCAGATTGGAATGAAATGTTGTTGACTTTGCTGTGTTTTGCTGCAGGAGCCATGCCTGGGAATTAAATGAGCAAGTCCTGGGTCTCAGGCATTGCCGAGACCCATGGTAGGGACTTGGCAAGGCCCCCCCTTTCCTGCCCCACAAGGGGCAATCTGGGAAGCTCCTAGAAACAGGGGAATGGGGCAGGCAGGAGGGACCTTGTGTATGGGGAGAGCCCCTGGGAGATGAATTGGAGGGTGATGGGCCTGGGGTCCCAGAGAGGCCAGGCTGCCCAGGCGGATTCCAGGTCTGTCTCAGGCCACAGCATAAGCTCCAGGTTAAGGCCTAGAGATACAAGGAGTCCTTGTGGCTCAGCAGAAAGACCCCTTCATCTGATCAAGGCCTGGCCCTCAGTCTTGAAGCGTGGGCTGCCAACCAGGCTGGGGCTGCAAAGAGGCAAGGCTGACCTGAAGCCTCCTAGGACAAAGGGCATCCAGGGAGAGTTGGCACCATGCCCCAGGGCCTCCTCTCTTAGGGACTCTTGGAGCTCTGCTGGCCAAGGGGCTGGGGGCTTACCTCCTACACATCAAACTACCTGACCCAGTCTCTGAGCAGCAATGTATAAGCCCCAGAGCTATGAAGTCTGTGACCTCTGAACAGATAGTAGCGCCTCCCCTCCAGGCACTGGGCCAGATGAGCAAGGGTCCGTGGAAGACCTGTGTTGATGGGGAGGGCCCAGTCCTGGGCCAGCCCCTGAGGGCTGGATTTTGGCTGCAGGCTCTCCATTCATGAATTCATCCCGCTCCTCCCCCAGAGTCCAAGGGTCCAGGTGGGAGGCAGGTTGAACTGTGCTGGACACTACCGAGGGAGCCCGTGCCAGGGACAGTTGGTAGGTGGGCAGCATGGGCTTTGAGGAGCTGCTGCATCAGGTAGGTGGCTTTGGGCCCTTCCAGTTGTGGAATGTGGCCCTGCTGGCTCTGCCCCGGATGCTGCTGCCCCTGCACTTCCTCCTGCCCATCTTCCTGGCTGCTGTGCCTGCCCACCACTGTGCCCTGCCTGGAGCCCCTGACAACTTCAGCTACCAGGATGAATGGCTAGAGGCCCACCTGCCCCAGGAGTCCGATGGCACACTCAGCTCCTGCCTCCGCTTCACCCACCCCCGCCCCCTCTCCAACACCACGTTGGTGGGAGGAGGACATAGCGCTGGGGAGCTTGAGGGGGAGCCCGCAACAGTGGCCTGTCCCCAGGGCTGGGAGTATGACCGCTCAGAGTTCTCCTCCACCATTGTAACTGAGGTACCAGAGGTTGGGGGGCATGTGAGTGGGATGGGCTGCCATTGCCTTGGGTGGTCACTGTGTGGCCATTAGATATACTACTTTACCTCTTAGAGTCTCAGTTTACCCCTCTGTAGATGGAGTCTATGAATATAAAGCGCTGAGCCTAGCTCCTGGCTTGTAGTAAGGGCCCATATACAGACAGGAGCTGCTATTATTAAATTGGGAGATGATGAAAGCAGGGAAGAGCTAAGATTGCTGTAGGAATTTGGGACAGAGGGCTGAGAAGGGTGTTTCTGCAGGAAATGGTGGGGAAACAGCAGAAGTCTCCCTCTCTCCCTTCCTCTTTTCAGGCCACAGGTCTGGGATTTACATAGCCCATCTGGATGTGGGATGCTGGTGGGGGCTGGGTCTCTCTAGGGTGGGGCAGGACTTTGTTGTCATTGTTGAGACCTCCCTGGGAAGAAGCTGAGGCTGCAGGACTGGGGAGGGGCAAAGTGTCCTATCCCCATGCTGGGATGAATAGTTGGGGTTTAATGTCTGGCATGGAGGCAGGGGGGATGGCTCAGTTAACCTCAGAAAGCCCAAGGTCTGGTGCCAGCTGGAAGGGGTCCTGTGCCCACCAGAGGCCCCTCCCTGCCCATCCTTGCAGTGGGACCTGGTGTGTGAACAGAAAAGCCTGAATCAAGCCACATCCACCTTCTTCTTCGCTGGTGTGCTGGTGGGTGCTGTGGCCTTCGGATACCTGTCAGACAGGTGGGGTGAGCTGTGGGTCTGATGGGGGGTGGGGAGACTCTCTCCTACTAGCAGGGGTATGGGTCTAGTCTGCCTCTGTCTTGGGATCTCCCCTCCATGGGGGAGCTAACTCTGCATGACCCCCTTGCAGGTTTGGGCGCCGCCGCCTGCTACTGGTGGCCTATGTGAGTACCCTGGTGCTGGGCCTGGCATCTGCAGCCTCCGTCAGCTACACCATGTTCGCCATCACCCGCACCCTCACTGGTGCAGCTCTGGCTGGCTTTACTATCATTGTGATGCCCCTGGGTGAGACAGGCAACGGATAGACAGGACCTACAGGGCTGGAAGGAGGTGTTGCCAAGGGTGAGACTGAGCCCATCTGGCCCCCACTAACTGTCTTTCTGTCTCTGGCCCCTTTCCTGGGCCTAGAGCTGGAGTGGCTGGACGTGGAGCACCGCACCGTGGCAGGTGTCCTGAGCAGCATCTTCTGGACAGGGGGCATGATGCTGCTGGCACTAGTTGGGTACCTGATCCGAGATTGGCGATGGCTTCTGCTGGCTGTCACCCTGCCTTGTGCCCCAGGCATCCTCAGCCTCTGGTGAGGCCTTGGGGCAGCTGAGGAGATGCAGATACAGGAACCCAGAGACAGAATTAATCAGAGACTGAGACTCAAAGACAGAGACTAAGAGATGGAGAGATAGAGAGAGAGACAGCCAGAGTTAGTGACCAAGAGAGAGAAAGAAGGAAAGACAGAGACCAATAGACAGAAGTGAGATACAGATAGATGGTGACTGCACAGGACAGTGAGAAACAGAGAAGAAGATTTATAGAGAGAGGTGGACAGACAGAGACAGAGCCAGTGAGAGACAGTAAGCGAAAGAGATAGAACTGAACGGTAGATTCAAAGGTACAGATGGCAACAGACACAGCGGAGACAAGAGAAAACAAGAGTGAATGAGAGACACAGAGATAGAGCTGGAGAGACAGAGCCAGGCACAGTGTGAGAGAGGGGTGGGACCAGGGCCAGTGTGGGGAGGAGAGGATCCCTGGCAGGAGGGTGGGAAGCCAGGCAGGGTAGGCATTTCATTGCCTCCCAAAGATGGACCCTCTAAGTATGCGTCCCTCCTTCATCTTATGCCTTCCAGTGGGTGGCTGGTGCTGGGGGCCAAGGTCCTGAGGGTGAGGCCAATTCAGTTCAGTAGGGCAGGGGTGGTCGAGAAGGGACTCCCAGGCTATGGGAGACCCAGGCCTAGACAAGAAGTCTGGGAGGAGGAGGCTTTTGAATTGCCTTAAAGGATGAGTAAGAGTTCATCAGGTTTGGGGGGCGGAGGGAGAAGATAACGTTCCTGGTTGAGGGACTACCTGAGTGAGTCTGGAAGCTGACAGCCTGTGCCATGACCAGGAGGGACATGTGGCTTAAGGCATTACTGTGACCAGTCCCAGAACCCGACTTTTTGGCTGAAGGGCCCCCTGCCTGTCTCCCAGGTGGGTGCCTGAGTCTGCACGCTGGCTTCTGACCCAGGGCCGTGTGGAGGAGGCCCAGGGGTACCTGCTCCGCTGTGCCAGGCTTAATGGGCGGCCCGTGGGTGAGGACAGCCTGAGCCGGGAGGTGAGGGTGAATGTGTGTGTCCTGTGTCAAGTGTCTCCCCCTAGGGGCCTGCTATATGTGACAGCAAAAGCCCCAGATCCCCATGGAAAGTTCCAAACTCTCTGGGATGTCCTACCCACACTCTTGACTCAGGGCCCACCTTCACCTTTCTTAGCTCGCATGTGTACACACTCCCCCCGACCCCCACCCCTGCAGAGGGGAGGAGTAGAGACCCAGAGAGAGCAACAAACTCTGCTAAGGCCACATAGCCAACTCTGATCTCACAACCTTGCCTCCTCCCCAACCAGGCCCTGAGCAAGGTAGCTGCCCAGGAGCGGGTGGTCCGAAGACCCTCGTACCTAGACCTGTTCCGCACACCTCGGCTCCGACACATTTCAGTGTGCTGCATGGTGGTGTGGTGAGGAGTGGCTGGCCTGAACCTGGCTGGGCTGGTGTGGGGCGGCCGCCAGGATGAGGCTGGGTGGGAGAAGGACGAGGGACAAATGAATTGTAACTGTGGAGGGCAGGAGGATCACCTTCTGGGGGAGATCTGGCTGGGTGAGGTCAGAAGATGGAGCAGGCATCAGAGACACCTAGGTGCAAACTCAGGCTCTGCCCTTCCTTACTATGCAGCCTTGGACAGTTCACTTAACCACTTTGAGCCTCAGTAACGCTTCTGTACAATGGGGATGCTATTAGCTCCTACCTCACAGGGTTGCTGTGACGATTAGGATAAAAGGCTTTGGACGCTGGGACGTGCTGCGTATTCAAGGGAGATTACAGGGAGGGAGAAGATCCTAGGCACCGGGCTCTGAAGGGGAGGAGGTGGTCCCGCTAAAAGCTAAAAGCTCCCTGAGAAGACAAGGAGGATGGGAAGGAAGGCCCCTTGAGTGGCATCGCAATCTCTTCAGGTATGGAGTGAACTTCTCCTATTATGGCCTGAGCCTAGACGTTTCGGGGCTCAGACTGAACGCGTACCAGACACAGCTGCTGTTCGGGGCCGCGGAGCTGCCCTCCAAACTGCTGGTCTACCTGTCAGTGCGCCGCGCCGGACGCCGCCTCACGCAGGCGGGAACGCTGCTGGGGGCGGCCGTCGCTTTGGGTGTCAGGATAATAGTGCCCTCTAGTGAGCTCCGCCCCCTCAGGCCCCGCCCCCATCCGGAAGTCCTGTGCTGTGCCCCGCCCATTTCCCGGAGCCCCGCCTCCTAGCCAGGAACCGACCCCACCCCCCTCCCCCGCCCTTTCCCAGGGAGCTGGGACGCTCAGCCCTTTAAGTCCCGCCCACTCTTCGGAGACTCCACCCCCTACCCCTGAAGCCGTCGCTCTTCCACAAGGCTGGCTCACTGCCTAAACTTTTCTTCCAGATAACGGGTTCTGGGGCACGGCCATGGCGGTGATGGGCAAGGGTTTTTCTGAAGCTGCCTTCACCACTGCCTACCTGTTCACGTCGGAGTTGTACCCTACCGTGCTCAGGTGAGGGGCACCTGGGCTCCTGGGGGAGAGGTGGGCTTGTTAGTCACATCTCTTACCAACATCCCTACAGACACACAGTGCACTCCAATCCCTCTCACCTAATCCTGACACCATATTCAGAATACGGAGCTAATCAGGGGCTGACTGTGATGGAGTCTGGGAGAAGGGGGAGCAGCATTTCATCTTACACACTGTGACCCTGAACCAAATCAGGCAACCTGTTTGGACCTCCCTTGAAATAGTCACAAGAAGCCCCATCCTGCCTACCCCACCCTACTCACTACGACCGAGGCAGAGCTGCCCTTGGGGGTTGTCTCTAGATGTAAGATCTGGCAGCCCTTTCAGCTAGCTATTGGGTGGTGACTCCAGGAGGTGACAGTTTGGGAGAAGAGGCTTCTAGGCAGCTGAGTATGTTTAGAAAGGCTTGAGCCTCCTCTAACAATACGGCAGGGCCTGTACAAGCTGCTGACCCTCTTCGTTCCATACTACCCTGTCCCTACCTCCTTTTCATGACTTTTCTTCTCCTTCCATGATTACTCTTGATGGTACTTCATTGCAATTGAGAATGGGAGCCTCTGGCCAGGTGGAAAAGATCAACTGAAAGAAGCCTCAGCTCTCTTAGTTGTCTGGGGAGAAGGGGTTCCAGGACCTGCCAGACCAGGAAGGAAGCAAGCCCTGTCAGGCATGATTCCAAGAAGGTATGAGCACTAACTCTGCCCCTCATCCTCTCTCTCTGAACAGACAGACAGGGATGGGGTTGACTGCACTGGTGGGCCGGCTAGGGGCCTCCTTGGCCCCACTGGCAGGCTTGCTGGATGGAGTGTGGCTATCATTGCCCAGGCTTATTTATGGGGGGATCACCCTGCTGGCTGCCTGCACTGCCCTCCTGCTGCCAGAGACAAGGCAGGTTCAACTGCCGGAGACCATCCAGGATGTGGAGAGAAAGAGGTATGTGCATAGGACTCTGTCTGCATGTGTAAGCACATGCATGTGGGTATGTGTGACACCTTAGGATTCAGAGAGGAAAACATGTTTGCACATATGTACTTGGTACATGTATGTAAGTATACACAGTTGAGTATGTTATTAGCGTGTGTGACCTGGGGTAGGAGCTCTGGTGGCGCAGTGGTTAGTTCGGTTGCTAACCAAAAGGTCGGCAGTTTGAATCCACCAGCCACTCCTTAGAAACCCTATGTGGCAGTTCTACTCTGTCCTATATGGTCACTGTGAGTCAGAATTGACTTGACGGCAATGAGGGTTTTTTTTTTTTGACCTGGAGTATATAACTTGAGTGTGTAAAAGTGTGTATGAACCCATATGTGTGTGTACAAAACTACCCAGGATCATCAGGAAGAGGGGTATGTATGTATAGTCAGGTATGCCTACTCATTAGGTGTGTGTACAAACGTGTGAGTCACTTGTGGGAGTGCATATGTTTGCATTACCAGGGGCTGGGGAGAGCCCTGGGTCAGCCCTGATGGGGCAGGTTGGGTGGTAGGCTCAGAGGCTAAGCCTGCCTGCTCATGACTTTTCTCCCCAATGCCTGTCCAGCCTTCAGGTGGAAGAGACACACATGATGCACGTCCAGGACTGAGTGGGATTGGGGGCTGCCCCTCCATGGAAGCTCTGCAGCAGGGTCTGAGAGACCTTCTGCAGAAGGGCAGACCTTGTTGCCAGGGCTGGGGGCATCAAGCCCTTTGCCCAGGGTTGGAGTTGCCATTGGTGCCCCATCCCTGTACTCATCCAGCCTTGACTATTCTGCCTCCAGCAACAGGGCGACTTCCCAGAATGCAGTGAGCCACTGGAAAATTCTGGGCCCCCCTCTCATGGCTGGGGGGATTCTATGAATAAAGGTGTCCCTTGGGTTGGGATAGCAATGAGGAGCTGTGGGGAGAGCCCTCAATGGGAAGCCACTGAGTTTGCCCTGGGCTCTGATTCCAGTTTCGCCACTGATTTGCTGTGTGACCTTGGGCACGTGGCTTCCCCTCACTGGGCCTCAGTCTGTTCATCTCTCAAATGGAATAATGAAGCCTCTTAGCAGACTTCACAACAGGATCTGTTGTCATACTCAAAGGAAATGCTGAAGAAGGTAGTTCTAGAGATGGTACTAAAGAAGACTGTCCTATGATGACTTCTGGTACCAACAGGACTGGTGGACATGCTGTCTGCTGTGTGGCCAGGGGACCAGGAGAACAGAGCTCTTTGTTCCCATTCCTGGTGCTGCTACCTCCCAGGCACTGTGCAGGGCAATGTGCAACCCCCCGCCCCCCCCACACACACCACACACCCACACACAGATATACACTCCCCATCCTCCAACTCAGTGCCTAGGCCTCATGCCCACAGAAGAGTTGAAGGCATGGGAGGCAACGTTTTATTGGAGAAGCTAGGGAGGCTGAGGCTCAATAAACAAGTTTTATGAGTATGCTGAAGCTCCAGAATTTGCTGGGGAAAGGGATGGGGAGGGAAAGGGATGGCGAGGGAAAGGAGGCCACTCTTCAAAAGGGGTGGCCTATGACCCCTGGCCAGATAGGAAAGATAGGAGTGGGAAAGGGAAAAGTTGGCAGATAAAGTCCAGGGCTCTCTGGCCCACAGGCCTGTCCCTCCCATGGAGCTTAGGCCCAGGCCTCCACCTCCCGTGGGACTGAAAAATTGTATAGCTCCCAATGGACCACGGAGAGAATGGTGGGCAGCCTGAGTCAGAGTGATCTCTGCTGTGATCATCTCATTTGGATTTTATCTCTGCTGGGTCATAGATGTAGCAGCCCACATCGCCAATGTTCACACCTGAGGGAGAGAGCCCTATCACCAGAGGCCTTAGGGCTAAGGGGTGCTCGGTTGTGGACTGGGGGGAACTGAAGAGGGCTGGGGTGTGTTTGACCACAGGGGAAGTTGTTCACACATCCCCACAGGCCAGGTACATGCCATACTTTAGGTTCAGTGTCTCGGGTGGGGCTGCCCACCTTTGGGGCCAAACAGGTAGCCGTAGCAGGGGATGTGGCAGTAGGGGACGCCGTCATGCTGGGACAGGGAGAGAAAAAGAAAGCCCATCTAAGCCTGTCTCTCTTCCCATCTCCAGTCTCCCTCCTCCCAACATACCCACCCATCCCTGCCCTGCTCACCTCAGCATGGCTCCCAGCAGTCAGGGTCTTGCGGCAGCGCTGGCACCTCAGACAGGGCCGGTGCCAATTTCTACCCAAAGACATCACCTTCTCAGCTGGTGGGGGAAAGAGGCAGTGGTTCTGGGAACAGGCAGTGAGACCACCTGCCTTGGACTACCTCCCTGCCCCTTGCTGTCCACCCTGTGCCCCACTCCCAAAGTTTTCTACTGGTACTTACCAAAATAGACAGGCTCCCCACAGCCAGGGCACAGTGAAGTCTCCCCAGTGAATGTCTTCATGTGGGGGGGGCCTTTAAGGGGAAGAGGCCCTGGCTAGGGCTGAGGTGGGGACCAGGGCCTAAGCAGGGCCCACCAGCACATGCCTATCCATGGCACTAGTCTCTTCCAAAAGCCATGCACATCCCAGAGCCCCACCCCTACCCCCAACCAGGCAGCCACGAGTGCCTTCCTCAGGCCCAGGGCTGAGTCCCCTCTGACCCCACCTCCTGCCCCCAATCCCTGTATGCAGAAGGGACCACCTGCTTCCTTCTTGTCCTCCCAGGGGCTCAGGTGCCCAGCAGCCCAACCCTGTCAGCAACTCAATCCTCAGGAAACCTGAGCTGATATAGGAGTTGGCCAGGGCAGAGGTGTCAGGTGTTGGGGAGCATGGTGTCAATGCCCAGTCCAGGCAGTGGGAGGGAAGAACAAGGGCTGGAGGGGAGAAGTTGAGAAAGGTGAGGGGCTGGCCCCATCCTAATGACCCCTCACCCATAGGTCATTCCTTCCACGGCCCAGAGAGAGGCTTGAGTTCCAGGCCAGCTCTGCATCTGACTAGCTTTGTGACTGCACAAGGTCACTTGCCCTCTCTGGACCTGTTTTCCTCACCTGTAAAATGGTGATAATGCCATCTGCCCTATTTACCTCTTAACAGCTGACATGAGGGAGCATCAAAAAAGACACCACGGATAAGAGAAGACTTTGTTGAGAACAAAAGTTGTAAGAATCTGAAGCAGACAGCTGGGTGGAAGACTGCGCCTCACCCTACCTCTTGCTGCAGCCTGGGGAAGGTTCAGGAAGAGGAGGGGCTGGGACCCAACCTCACTTACTTTTCTTGCCCTGGGGGAGGCCAGTCCTGCGTCTGGGGGGGCTGAAGCTGCTGGGGCTGAGGGGAGTGCTGCTGGCAGGCATGGAAGTGGGAGGACTGTAGACGTAGGAACCCACACCGCCAATGTTCACCCCTGCAGAGAAAAGGGAGGACAGGCTTAAGCCTGCAGACCAGATCCATAGGGAGGGTTCTGCTGCACCTTAGCTCCTTCCAGGCTGGTACTTACTTACCCCTGGGTCCAAAGAGAGCCCCGTAGCATGGCTTGTGGCAGTATGGCCTCCCATTGTGCTGGGCACAGGCAGAGGGAAGGGGGTCGCTCAGGATCAAGGAGGGGAGCCTCTTCTGTGCCCCACAGGTCTTCCCCCAAGACAAGCTGCCAGGTGTGTCTCTCCACTGGCCTGGCCTGGTAGAGTTGGGAGGGGTGGGGAATGGGCTGGCATAGGAGGGCTTTGGCCAGTATTACCAACGTGGTTGAGGGAGAAAGGGCAATAATAGATTAAGAGACACTATGGCCCTCCCCTCTTCCCGCCCCCTCCCAACCCCCGTGGCTGGTGTAGAGCTCACGGGTGGGTGGCTTTGAGGCTGGTCTCTGTGCTTGCCTTTGGCGGGCCTCCAGGGCTGAAACCAGCGGTCGGGGCCTGGGGAAAGTGACAGGGCTGTGCGCCCTGGCCGGGCCTCACCTCTGCATGCCCGCCGGGGGACAGGATGCTGTGGCAGCGCTCACATTTCAGGCAGAAAGGGTGCCAGTTCTTGCCCAGGGAGCTCACCTTCTCAGCTGTGGGGGACAATGTGGAACCGGGCTGCGAGGTACCAGGCCGAGCATGGGACGCCTTCCTTTACCCCTCAGCCTTCTGGAGAAACTAGACCCACCCACCCTGCTCCCTGGAGACGACAGAGTGGGTCTCCGGGAGGCCAGCTCCAACCAGCCCCGGCGCAATGCGCCCCACCTGGCTCTCGGAGGGGGGCCCAGCTGGGAAAGGGTGGTGGTGCGGCGCCCATGCGCCGCCACAGGTGGAAAAAGGGGTGTGGGACTCCTCCGCTGCCAGCATCTCAGAAAAGCCAGTGGTCCACACTCGCCCCATCTCCCCCCCCACCCCCCAGCCTGGGCCTCACCAAAGAACACAGGTTGCTGGCAACGCGGGCAGGTCCAGCTCATGGCTCCGCTCACGGCAGCGGACGCGGCACAAAGTCGGTACCGGGGCAGAGGCTCAGTTACCACCCCCTTCACTGGCTCCGCCCACGGCCCAGCTTTGAGCCTCATTGGGCTGCCTCCGCAGCTCCTCCGCGCCCATTAGCCGTCAGAAATTTAGAACCTCGGGGACGCAGACGACCTCCCAGTTACTTCGAAGAACACTAAAGCCTCCGATCTATGCCGAGTAAGGGGTCGGGAAATCAAGTGGGTTCCGGACAGGGAGGGGAGCGATGCAATGAAGACGCCCGGATGGGTGGCTTGGTACGGAAGAAAAATTTCTAACGTGCGGACGCCACGAAAACACTCGATTCTCTCCCCAAAGCGAGGGGGTAGGCTTTTTTGAAATAACTAAATCTCGCGTTGGCAGTCTAGCAAAGTGGTTAAGAGCAAGGGAATCTGGCGCTAGACTTAGTACACTCGGAGCCCATCTCTGCTACTAGCTAGCTGTTTGGCTTCGGGCAAATTACTTAACCTCCCTCTGCCTCCGTTTTCTTAGCAGTAAAATGAATATTATGATGTTTCTATCTCATAGGATTGTTGTGGGAATGAGACGAATTAATAGACATGAAGCGCCCAAACAGCGCCTGGCACATAAATTCTATAAATGTGATAGCCATCGTTCTGATAGGTCCTTTAATGGGCTCAAGACTCAGTTTGGAAGCCTCAAAACGTGGTCTGCATACAATGGTTTGCTTTTAAAAGTATAATGCTTCCTTATTTAAAAGTGTAATTTAGACACCAATTACACGTCTGATTTAGTTTGCTTTAAAATGTTGTAATATTTGTTAAAAGTAGCTCAGCAGTGCTTCAAAAGACACTACCAAGAAAGTGAAAAGACAACCCACAGAATGGAAGAAAATCATATATTGATAAGGGTCTAGTATCCAGAAAAAGAATTCTTACAACTCAACAATAAAGACAACCCAATTTAAAAAATAGGCAAAGATTTTAAACATTTTTCAAAAGAAGATATTCAAACAGCACCATTGTTGTTGTTGTTAGGTGCTGTTGAGCTGATTCCAACTTGTAGTGACCCTGTGTACAACAGAACAAAACACTGCCTTGTCCTGTGCCACCCTCACAATCGTTGTTATGCTTGAGCCCGTTGTTGCAGCCACTGTATCAATTCATCTTGTTGAGGGTCTTCCTCTTTTGCTGACCCTCTACTTTACAAAGCATGATGTCCTTCTCCAGGGACGGATCCCTCGTGATAACATGTCCAGAGTATGTGAGATGAAGTCTCGCCATCCTTGCTTCTAAGGAGCATTCTGGTTGTACTTCTTCCAAGGAAGATTTGTTCGTTCTTTTGGCAGTCCGTGGTATATTCAATATTCTTCGCCAACACCATTCAAAGGCGTCAGTTCTTCGGTCTTCCTTATTCATCATCCAACTTTTGCATGCATACGAAGCAACTGAAAACACCATGGCTTGAGTCAGGTGCACCTGTCTTCAAGATGACATTTTTGCTTTTTAACACTTTAAAGAGGTCTTTGGCGGCAGATTTGCCAAATGCAGTGCGTCGTTTGATTTCTTGACTGCTGCTTCCATGGGTGTTGATTGTGGATCCAAGTACAATGAAATCCTTGACAACTTGAGTCTTTTCTCCGTTTATCATGATGTTGCCTGTTGGCCCAGTTGTGAGGATTTTTGTTTTCTTTATGTTGAGGTGTAATCCATAAGGAAGGCTATGGTCTTTGATCTTCATCAGTAAGTGCTTCAAGTCCTTCCCTTTCAGCAAGCAAGGCTGTGTCATCTGCATAACACAGGTTGTTAATGAGTCTTCCTCCAATCCTGATGCCCCTTTCTTCTTCATACAGTCCAGCTTTTCAGAGTATTTGCTCAGCATACAGACTGAATAAGTATGTTGAAAGGATACAACCCTGACGCATCCCTTTCCTGACTTTAAACCATGCAGTATCCCCTTGTTCTGTTCGAACCTGTATATACAGGTTCTTCATGAGCACAATTAAGTGCTCTGCAATTCCCATTCTTCACAACGTTATCTATAATTTGTTATGATCTACACAGTCGAATGCCTTTGCGTAGTCAATAAAACACAGGTAAACATCTTTCTGGTATTCTCTGCTTTCAGCCAGGATCCATCTGACATCAGCAATGATATCCCCAGTTCCACATCCTCTTCTGAATCTGGCTTGAACTTCTGGAAGTTCCCTGTCAATGTACTGCTGCAGCAACTGCTTTTGAATTATATTCAGCAAAATTTTAGTTGTGTGTGATATTAATGATATTAACAACAGCACCATTAAGCACATGAAAAGATGCTCAGCACTATTTAAAAACCAAAAAACCAAACCCATTGCTGTGGAGTCAATTCCTACTCATGGTGACTCCACGTGTGCAGAGAACTGCTCCATAGGGTTTTCAAGAATGTGACCTTTTGGAAGCAGATAGCCTCTGGGTGTGTTCGAACTGCCAACCTTTCTAGTAATCCAGTGCTTAACCATTTTCCCTACTCAGGGAACTTTTTCATTAGTCATTAGGGAAATGCAAATCAGGACAACAATGAGATACCACTTCACACCCACTAGGATGGCTAAAATTAAAAAGACGGACAACAATAACTGTTGATGAGGTTGCAGAGAAATTGGATCACTTATACATTGCTAGTGGGAATGTGAAACAGAGTAGCTGCTTCGGAAAACAATCTGGCAGTTTCTCAAAAGGTTAAACATAGAGTTACCATATGACCAATTGCACTCCTAGGTATATATACCCAAGAGAATTGAAAACGTATGTTCATACAAAAACTTGTAGACCAATGTTCACAGCAGCAGTATTCACAATAGCAAAGCCCATTTCACAACTCAAAGCCCACCAACTGATGTGGTATATCCATACAATGATATATTCAGCCATAAAAAGGATGAAATACTGATACATGCGACATATGGATGAACATTAAAAGCATTAAGTGAAAGAAGCCAGACACAAAAAAACCATATATTGTATGATTCCATTTATATGAAATGTTCAAAATAGGTAAATCCATAGAGAAAGAAAGAAGAGTAGTGTCTGCTAATGGGTACAGGAGTCCCCGGGTGGTGCAAATGGTTAAGTGCCTGGCTACTAACCAAAAGGTTAGTGGTCCGAACCCACCCAGAGGTGCCTCGGGAGAAAGTCCTGGCAATCTGTTTCCAAAAGGTTACAGCCATGAAAACCCTATGCAGCACAGTTCTAGTATGAAACACACAGGGTTGCCCTGAGTTGGAATCTACTAGATGGCAACTGGTTTTGTTTTTGTTTTTTGCTAATGGGTACCAGGTTTCTTTTTGGGGAGTGAAAATATCTTAGATAGTGGTGATGCTTGCACAATCTTATGGCTATACCAGAAACCACTGAACTGTATACTTTAAAAGGGTAAATTTTTTGATCTATGAATTATATCTCAATAGTAACAATAATAAAACATCCTGAAGGGACCTACTTAAAAAAAAGAAAAAAACAAAACAAAACAAGTAAACAGTAGCTAAGCAAATGAGGAGTGCCAGTAGCCCAGCAAAGGAGACAATCCCTCCATGATGTATTCTGGTGAAACAGTTTTCTGGAGTAAGTTCCTTTCTTATGTCAAGCCAGTTCAGAAAGAGCTGAAGGGAGCATGTGTACTAAATTCATCATTGGGCTGTAGTGCTGTGCTCTGCTGGGTGAAAGGAGCACAGTCTTAGGAGTCCAAGACCCTCTCTGGATTCATCTGAGCAGTGGGGATGGGGTGCTGTCTAAGATCTCTGGAAGTCTATGAACTTCCACTCAGCATTCTCATTTCCTGCACTATGTCCATCAGTACTTTTGTTTTATCCTCCTTGTTGACTTCTAAGGGTGTAAGGCATACACATTGTGAGACAAATTTTTCTACACTTTTTCATTATTTGTTTCTTGCTATGGGGACTACATAAAGATCTTTAGTTTTATAACTGTTTGTTGAAGGGCTTCTTCTCTAAAAAACTTGGAAAATACTAGTTTTATCCTCCACTGATTGGAGCCCTGGTGGTGTAGTAGTTAAGCACTTGCCTGCTAACTGAAAGGTCCGAGGTTCAAACCCACCAGCCTCTCCCCAAGAGAAAGATGTGGCAGTCTGCTTCTGTAAAGATTTATAGTGTTGGAAACTCTATGGGGCAGTTCTACTCTGTTCTATGGGGTCACTATGAGTAAGAATCAACTCGACGGCAGTGGGTTTGGTGTTTTTTTTAATCTTCCACTGAGTTTTACTCTTGTGCTTCTGCCTCATTTGTTTCTTCTTGAAGAAGGCAGTTTAAAGTTCACTGTCTTTTGCTCTCCATGGCTCTCATGGAGAAGGTTCCACCTTAGGAGGCTGAAGCACTGCATTGGTGTGTTTATTTTTAGACATACTTCGTCCTCTTGGAAGGCTTAACTTTATCTGCCCAGGGATCTATCCCTATCCTCCTTAGAACTTCCACAGCACATCAAATAATCCTTCCCCAAGGCCTCCAGGCACTTTCTGCCTTAGATCACCTTGTGCAGGTGCCTCATCCCTCCTAAGCAGATCCCCCAGCATCCAGCATAGGGCCCAACACCAAGAAGCAAACATCTGAGTATGAGTACCATGCTGCTTTCACACAATTTGCAATGTCAGTGGGGCAAATGCTTTACTGCTCCCTGTCTTCTGTGACCTTCCCGCATTCTACAGCCATGACAAACACAGCATGCCTCATCTCTCCTAGGTCAGTGCTTAGAAAAGACTAGTTGAGGCTCCTTTCCAAACATTCGCCATCCATTTGCAGGTAGAGTAAATCACAGCATTTCACCCCTTCCTTGCCTGGTTTCTGTTATTCACTACCAGGAGGCTTTGTAAACCATGCTGCGGTGCAATGAATTACTTAATGTGGCCCTTCTAGCCATGGTCTTTGTGATTCACAGACAATGACTGGATAGGACTGCAAATAAAGTAACTGTAGCCCACCAAGGAGGCTAGTCAGTTTTGCTTGAAATGAGCCACCCCAGAGGCGGGAAAGAGAGGATCCCACCACAACCAGGGAGGGAGAACCAGGAGCAGAGTGTGTCCTTTGGATCTGGGGTCCCTGTGCTGAGAGGCTTCTGGAACCAGGAGACAGACAAAGAGAGAGAGAAATGTAACACTGAAGACAGCGAGAAGCGGTGGCAGATAAATGGTGGCAGGAGAGATTGGCAGGAGATGGCGCAGTGGGCCTCCCAGCCCACGGACTGAGAAAGCTGAGTGCTTTTGGGCAGGAGGCTTGCTGGCAGAGTAGGCTGCCTCCAGGGACTTGGTAGAGTCAGATTTGCCAACCTACCGAGTTGGAGCTGAGCGCCTTTGGGCCGAGGCTTAGTGGCCGAGTGGGGTGCCTTGGGGTACTTACTGGCAGAGCTAAAAGAGGTTTGTAACACTTGCCCAAGCAGGGCAGAGGTCAAGGGGCCAGAGAGCTGCATACCAGTGGGTACAGCTGAAAAGAGGCTGTCCTGATGGAAGAACTGTATCCTGAGTGTTCCTGAACCTGAGTTGTAATCTGTTACTTCCCTAATAAACCCCATAACTGTGAGTATTGTCTGTGAGTTCTGTGTGGCCTTGCAAGAAATTATCAAACTCAGCAGAGAAGTAGAGAGTGCTGTGGGACGGACAGTTAGTCTCAGAATTGGTAAAGACAGCAGAGAGAGGAGGTATGTCTGACCTCCATAGGAATCGGCCTTGGGCTGTTGATCTTGATTCTCCTCCCCCCTTGTGAAATTAGAGGAAGTCAAATACTGTCCCCACAGCATTTTTACAAATGCTAACAGAGAAAACTAACATTTCTCGTAGGAATGCATTTGCAGTTACTGACAGTGGTTGTTTTAAAAAACAGTTGTTGTGACTGAAGTCACTAAAATGATATTTTAACAAACACCACAAATGGCTAAGTCCAGCTGAGGGTATATAATACCTACTCAATGGCCAAGGTGCAATTTGTGCCATCTCCTCTAAGAGGCAGGCTCCTTTCTCATAGAGACCAGATGATGGTCTCCCCCACCCCCGTGTCCCCTGCACAGACCTCTGTCATAATATCCATTATGTTTTTACACCTGTTTGCTTGTCTCACTTTCTTCAACTGACAGGATTGATTGAGGCTTACTTTTCTGTGTATCTCTAGCACTGAGTACAGTGTGAATGTTCAGTAAATAATAACTACTAATTATTATTATTAAAATCTTCCCTTAACACTATTTGCTTCATATTTTTAAGCTCTATTACCTGTGTTTTATTGACTATGCAAAGGCATTCGACTGTGTGGATCATAACAAATTATAGATAACACTGCAAAGAATGGGAATTCCAGAACACTTCATTGTGCTCATGAGGAACCTGCATACAGGTTCGAACAGAACAAGGGGATACTGCATGGTTTAAAGTCAGGAAAGGGATGCGTCAGGGTTGTATCCTTTCAACATACTTATTCAGTCTGTATGCTAAGCAAATACTCCGAAAAGCTGGACTATATGAAGAAGAAAGGGGCATCAGGATTGGAGGAAGACTCATTAACAACCTGCGTTATGCAGATGACACAGCCTTGCTTGCTGAAAGGGAAGGACTTGAAGCACTTACTGATGAAGATCAAAGACCATAGCCTTCCTTATGGATTACACCTCAACATAAAGAAAACAAAAATCCTCACAACTGGGCCAACAGGCAACATCATGATAAACGGAGAAAGACTCAAGTTGTCAAGGATTTCGTTTTGTTGGATCCACAGTCAATGCCTATGGAAGCAGCAGTCAAGAAATCAAAAGATGTATTGCACTGGGCAAATCTGCTGCAAAAGACCTCTTTAAAGTGTTAAAAAGCAAAAATGTCATCTTGAAGACCAAGGTGCACCTGACCCAAGCCATGGTGTTTTCAATTGCCTCATATGCATGCAAAAGCTGGATGATGAATAAGGAAGACTGAAGAAGAACTGACGCCTCTGAATTGTGGTGTTGGCGAAGAATATTGAATATACCACGGACTGCCAAAAGAACGAACAAATCTTCCTTGGAAGAAGTACAACCAGAATGCTCCTTAGAAGCAAGGATGGCGAGACTACATCTCACATACTCTGGACATGTTATCACGAGGGATCCGTCCCTGGAGAAGGACATCATGCTTTGTAAAGTAGAGGGTCAGCAAAAAAGGAAGACCCTCAACAAGATGGATTGATACAGTGGCTGCAACAACAGGCTCAAGCATAACAACGATTGTGAGGGTGGCACAGGACCAGGCAGTGTTTTGTTCTGTTGTACACAGGGTCGCTATGAGTCGTAAGCAACTCGACAGCACCTAACAACAACAACAATTAGGCATGTGTAAATTTTAGGACTGTTGTGTTTTCTTGATGAATTGATCTTGTTATCATTGTTTTCAGAAAGGCTCTTCAACTTTTTTTTCCCCCTTCAGCTTTTTAATTCTAGGTGAGTGAGGAGGAAGAGGGTGGTGGTAGAGACAATGACCTCAAACACCTGGAGTGCTGTCACAACAGGCATTAGGGGCACTACCAAGACCCCTAGATAGAGGCCACTGGAAGATAGATCTGGATTCAGTCTAAGAAAGAACCTTCAAACACAGCCCAAACATAGAGTGGCTGCTTCAAATAGTAGTGAGCTTCCTGTCTGGATGTAAGTAACACTAGAGAAGAAACCAACTGATCATCAGTATGCATAGGGAATGCAAACATCATAAGTACACACGCCTTGAAGGTCTCTTCACAATTTGACAATCTGCAATTCCTGTGATTCCATTCCCAAAGAGGAGTTTGGAATTTGTGTTAGCAAGAGAGCATTGCTGAAATAATGACAGCTACCATCTATGGAATAAATGCCAGTCACTGTACCTGTTACTTCCAATCCTCACAACAACCTGATGAGGGGTATAAACATTACATTAACAAAAGTACAGAAAAGGAAAGTGGCTTGGAGAGGTTAAGAAATTTCTTTAACATCATACAGGCCCAAGCATTCTGACTCCAGAGCCCACACTCTTCCCACTCCATGCTCCTAAGCATGGTTTCTACTGTCTGTGTGTTTCAGCCTGAAAGGATGTTACTTTTAACTGCACAGCACCTCTGTACCTGAAGATAAGAGGGCCTATCCAGGAAATAATGGGTTGAGAGACAAGGGGCAGGAAAATGTCACTGAAACCTTTCCATGGCTTCGCAGTAGCCACGGGATAAAGTTTTTAACTTGGCTCTAAAATCTTCCATACCCAGACCCTCCACCTCTCCAATCTTCTAGCCATTCCTCCTGTTGCATCAGCCCCTAAACCATACTAAATGAGTTTCTTAAACCTGCCAAACTCTCTTCTGCCTCAAGGCCTTTGCAAATGCTCTCTCTCAGCTGGGAACTCACTTCTTTAACAACTTCACCTCACCAATTCCTGCCCTACTCAGCTCACTCAGCTCCCTCACCTACTCAATACCAGGCTACTGTCCCTAGGTACTCTCTCTCTTAACATCCTGTGCTATAAGGTAGAGGGGTCCCAATAAATGACAGTCCTGTTTTCCTTGCCTGACTGCTGAACAAAATGAGGGATAAAAAACAAATGGAGACCCATGCATCATTGGTAAAGCCTAGGCTGTAGCTTAGTGAGAGAGCCAAACAGGCCGGCCAATTTCCTGCCTACCTCGCCCACCCTAGTCTAGGCTTTGTCTACCCCATTAGTCTGTGAGCTCCATGGAGGCAGGACCAAGGCTGTCTTGCCAACCCCTGTATATGTTTCCACTGCCTTGCTTAACATGTGGCATACATGCTCAATAAACATTTGCTGGTGAATGAATGTTAAATGTTATACGCAAGTCCCCCTCAGGTTTAAGCAGATAAAGGTTAGTAGGGATAGGAAGTCAGAGATGTAGGGATAGGAAGGGACTGGTAGGGGTTGAGAGTTCATGGGACACTAATAATAACAGAAGCCCTGGAGCAAGGGAAGCTCAGCTGCCTAGGAATAAGATCTCAGGAATTTCTTAATGTACATGAGGATCAGTATGTATGATGTCCAAAAGGGAATATAATTTACACTGATCCTCATTATAAATACTAGGTAACTAATAATGTAAAAAGGGAACTGAAATTTTGTTTTGGCAGCAAACCAGTCCCACTAATTTGGTCATTCACAAGAACTTACTAATTAAGCTTCATTAGCATGTAGCACAATTATGTCTATCATTAAATATGTGGCAAATGAAGAGAATGTGTTATACAAACTGTAAAGGACCTTGCAATTATGTGTCAGGTTAGCCTGGCAAGTGAGTTTTGATCACAACTATAAACTCTACCCATTTTATGTCTTTGTAGACTTGCTCAACTAAATGGTCATGCGCTTGTTTGCCTAGATGACGCTTTTAAAAGAGAAATTACTTGGTTCTGGTATGTTTGTGAAAAATCAGTCTTACCTCTTTAGAGTGTATTTCTTAACCTTTATTATCCATAATGCTCATGCTTTCTCACTCCATCTTCTGCATATCCCCTCCAGCAAGAAAACTTTACTTTCTGTAGTTTATATTACTTTTAAAAAATAAAATACAAACAAAAATACACACAAAACAAAAACAAATAGTGAATATGCTTTAATAAAAACACACTAATCCCCCTACCTGTAGAGAATTGCTGCTTAATAATTATACATCATTTATGACTCTTACAAGAATCTTTTTGATTTTTTCCCCTGGTTTTCTAGCATCATTTTGCCATCACATGAACCTGTTGAGAGCAATCTGTATATAGCTATGTATAGTGGTTACAGCTACCCAAGTGTTGCTTGGGATTTACTGAGTGGGGTACATTTTGTGACTCAGTGTCATCAGCTGGACTAATTTAGAATCAAGACTGCAGGAAGGACCCCCTGACCCTTCAACATGACTGCCTTCAACCTCTGCTCATGAAGAAATCAATAACAGTTTTAAACGATGGTTTTCTATGCAAAGATGGATTTGGCTTCTCTATTATCATTTGGAAATGTGTATTTCATCTGAGAATATATAAAAATAACTACTTGGAAATATTTGTAGCATGAAAATGTATCCATATGCCAGAAACTAAGGAGAGAAAAAAAGAGGAGTGAAACTTGGTGGTCAGTGTGCTTATAAATCTAATAATGGTGATAATGCTCTTTGGAACTGGCATAAACTACCAGCAACTTCCTCATCTCTGTACTAAGGTTGGGGGTGGTGGTGGCAATTTTTTATAATATGTAAGACTGGTTCTTCTAGGTCATAAGACTATGTTAACGAGGCTAAAAGGGTTTAAACTTAGGAATTTGGACAAATGCAATTGCTTACCTTTTAATACAGGAGTATTTCAGTTCCTCTATGAAGCTCAAGGTCACAGAATCAGGAGTCAAGTTCCAGTTTCTTCTCAACTCCAAAATCACTGGGCTTTTTCTCTTCTTGTTCTGAGCTTTTAGAACAGGCAAGGCTATAAAGTCCTTATTTCTAATCTCTACTAAAAAAAAACAAAGGAGGGGCAGCTACTATCTTACTGGAGACAAGAACCTGAGAACCCATCTCTTGAAAAAAAGTCACAAAGAGAAAGGCTAAAAAGAAAGAAGGCACTAAATCTTTGCAACTCTATAGGGGATATTTTAATTTTCTATTTAGCAGAATGTACTCTGGAGAATCTCATCTCCCCTCCAGTCCATGTTCCATGTTAATGCAACTTATGTCTAGATGGTTCCGTAAGGCAGACCCTGCCTTCTCATGGTGAGCTTATGACTTGGGCCTGGTCTGAGTACCCCATCCACCTGGCCACAGTGATGGTTCCTAGATAGAAATGTGACCCAAGACAGATTAATCAGTGTCCTCCCTGAGACTTTTTGGTATTGTAAGAAAAGATACATTGTCATTTTCTAGATAGAAGCCTACAAGGGCCATGGCAGCTTGAGACTGCTGGGGACCATCTTGCCCCTGAGTGGAAAGAGCTCTGAAAATGAAGTAAAGAAGAAATCAGCAGAGGCAAGCAGAGCTGAGGGAGTGAAAAAGAGAGTTCTGATGACATCTCTGACTTCCAGGATCTAGCTTGGCCTTGGTTTTTCAGTTACCAAGCCACAAAATCCTGCCACCCTTTTTTTTTTCTTAAGCTTGTTTGAATTAGGTTTCTGTTACTCAAAACCAAAAAATCCTAATTAATATAACCTATAACATGCAACTTTATATAGGTAGAAAAGCTTCTTGTATTTAAGCATTTCATCATGTCATATAAAGGGTCTGATACTGTAGATAGTTCTACATACATATTTTCTTAATGTTTCATTTTCAGGATTCAACTACCGTATTTTTATACAAATAACGCATGCCTTCTACATTTGTTTGCTAACCGTGCCCTCACCCCGTGAGATATTTTCATAAGCGCCACTATGTCAATTTTTTTTTTTTTACTGTTAAAAAAAATTGGCATAGTGGCGCTTATGAAAATACCTTGCAGGGGGAGGGCACAGTTGGCAAAGCAACATAGAAGGAACATGTTATTTGCATAAAAATATGGTATAGTCTGTAACAGAATCACTTTAAAGACACAAATTGGTTGAAAGTGAAAGGATGGAAAAAGATATTCCATGCAAACCGAAAGAGAGCTGAGGTGGCTATATTAACATCAGACAAAATAGACTTTAAATCCAAAATTGTTACAAGAGACAAAGAAGGAACAATTCATCAAGAAAATGTAACAATTATAAACATATACTCACCAAAATATATGAAACATAAAATACATGAAGCAAACATTGTCAGAAATGAAGGGAGAAATAAATGGTTCTACAAAAGGAACTAAAAAACATAAAAGGAAATTAAACCCAAAGCTAGCAGAAGGAAGGAATAAAGATTAGAGTGGAGATAAACAAAATAGAGAATTAAAAAAAAATACAGAGAATCAATAAAACCAAAAGTTGGTTCTTTGAAAAAAATCAACAAAATTGAAAAACCTTTAGCTAGACTGACTAAGGAAAAAAGAGAGAAGATGCAAATAACTAAAATTAGAAATGGAAAACAGGGACATTACTACCATCATACAGAAATAAAAAGGATTATAAGAGAATACTATTAACAACTGTACACCAAAAGATTAGATAACCTAGATGAAATGGAAAAATTCCTAGAGACACACAAATTACCAAAACTGACTCAAGAAGAAATAGAAAATCTGAAGAGATCTATAACAAGTAGAGATTGAATCAGTAATCAAAAACCTCCCAAGAAAGAAAAGTTCAGAAACAGACAGCTTCACTGGTGAAGGGGGTTGGGGGGAAGGGGAATGGGGACTAACTACTTAGTGGGTTCAGGTTTTATTCTGGGGTGATGAAATGTTTTAGATAGAGGTGGTGGTTGCAAAATATTGTGAATGTACTAAATGCCAAAGAATTGTTTAATATGTTTAATTTTACACTATGCGAACTTTTACCTCAATAATAAAAAAAAGCACTTGCAATAAAAGTAAGAATAGTGGTTATATTTTGGGAAAGTAGCAAGTAGAAGAGGGAATGAGAGGAGCTTCAGGGGTGTTGGTCATATTCTCTTTCTTGATTTGGGTGTTAGTTATCCAGGTGTTTTTACTTTCTGAATACTGTTGAGCTGAATACTTGTGATGTGTGTGCTTTTTTAAAATAGGAACATTATACTTTAATATAAAAGTTTAAAAAAGAAAAAGAGTTAAACAGAGTTACATATGACCCAGTAATTCCACTCCTAGGTATATACCCAAATGAATTAAAACCATATGTCCCACAAAAACTTGTACACAAATGTTCACAGCATTATTCCTAATAGCTAAAAAGTGGAAATAATCTAAATGCCCATCAACTGATGACTGGATAAACACAATGTGGTACACCCATACAAGAGAATACTATTCAGCCACAAAACAGAATGAAGTACTGATAGAACTGATACATGCTACAACATGGATGAACCTTGAAAACATTATGCTAAGTACAGAACCTAGACACAAAAGGCCACATATTGTAGGACTCCATTCATATGAAATGTCCAGAAGAGGCAAATCCATAGAGACAGAAAGTAGATTAGGGGTTGCCAGGGGCTGGGGGCAGGAGGGAACTGGGAGTGACTGTAATAGGTACAAGGTTTTCTTTGGGAGTAATGGAAATGTTCTGGAATTAGTGGTGATACCTGCACAACCTTTTGAATATGCCAAAAAGTTAAAGTACACTTTAAAATGGTGAATTTTGTTATGTGAAATGTAATGTTATGTGAACTCTATTTCAATAAAAAAGGAATAGATCTTAAATATTTCATCATTCTGAATATACACAAAATCTAACATATCAAATAAAAGAAGCCCAAAGGGAGAAATATTATTCTAAAAAATGTTCCCCTTCCGGGACAGGAAAGCTGGTGATAGGGAACCCAAGGTTGAGTAAGGACAGTGTTGACATGTAGTGGGGCTGTTAACCATTGTCATAGGGCAACATGTGTACTAACTGTTTAATGAGAAACTATTTTGTTCTGTAAACCTTCATCTAAAGTGAGAATAGCAGCACAACTGGAGGAATGTAATCGAT